CTTTCTTTAAACTTTTCTTTCTTTCCACAGAATTTATTAATATCCCTAGGATTGCCATTTTCTGTGGATGAAAGAAAAGAAATACAAGTGGTCATAAAAGTTATAACAAGAAGTTATGATTTTGCATGCCTTGTATGCTTGTTTTGTTACGCTTTGGTCTATTACATAAATCTTGCCAAGAGCAGGGTTGTCCTTTTCCTACATGGGTTAGGCACTCCTGAGTCATTAGCAATAAATGACTTGGCTGCCAAATCCTGCTAGCCCTACCTGTGCCCTTCAGCAGGAGTATCGACATCAGAGCTGCCCAGCAATATCTGCCAACAATTCTTGCCTGACCCAGTATTTTGCATGTTAAATTCTTGATTTTCTCTATTGAGAAATCTCATTATCATTAGCTCTAATATCTATTATTTAATATATTTTTGTTGTTGTTTGTGGGGCTTTTTTTGTGTTTTTTTTTTTTTTTTTTCTTTTTTGTTTGGGGGGGGGGGGGGGGGGGGGTTTTTTGGTTGGTTGGTTGGTTTGGTTTTGGTTTTTGTGAGGGAAGTGAGACACTGGGCCAGGCTGCCCAGGGAAGTTATTGATGCCCCATCTTCAAAATGCTCAAGGTCAAGGCAGACAGCTCTGGTCAATCTGGTCTAGTGGAAGATGTCCCTGTTCAAAGCAGGGGCAGTTGAACTAGATGATCTTTAAAGCTCCTTTCCAACCCAAAAAAATTTATGATTCTGTATTTCCAAACACCTGTATCACTTGAAGGAATGTTTGGAGTACAAGTCACAGGAGTTACGATAGATGCATGTTCAGATGCATGTCTTGTAGCTACATTGGCATGCTTATATTGAGCATGCTGCACAATGCGCTTGCCATTTAGCACATGCTATTCATGACTATGGCATAATTAGAACTTGTTACCTTTCCTTTTAGTTGTTTTTACTGGAAAAAACCTTAAATCTGGAAATCTCCCTAGACAAGCTGCAGGCATCTTTGTCACAAGAGGTTTAAGAAAAATTAGCCTAGAAAAACATCTGACAGTGAGATGTGCCAGACAATTTACTGGGGTATTTTCCAGTCTGACATTTCTTGGAAGGTATCAATTGTGCTAAGATACCAGAGACAGATGTGAAAATACAGGGTAAGATGTCAGACCTTCCATGTCTACATTCTCCCTTTAATGCAAAGGTTTGACAAATTATTTCGTTGTAGGGGCAGAACCTTCTTCTATATATTACCACGAATGTCATGGCATATGGTCTTCCAGGTAAAAATTACCATGGGAATCCAAAATGTTGGAAGAGATCCAAAGTCTCCTTGTGGCAGATGGGAAAGCATGTGTGAGTGTGTGTGTGTGTGTGTGTGTGTGTGTGTGTGTGTGTGATCTACAGCACATACATTCAGAGGATCATCCTACCACCATGTACTGTAATCTATAAGGTCTCCCACTCCACTTAATTAATGTTATTGGTATGGGTACTTGTACTAGCAAGGCTGAACATGCTTCAAAAATTTACAATATAAGCATGAGAGAAAAGAGAAGAGAAGAAGAGAAGAGAAGAGAAGAGAAGAGAAGAGAAGAGAAGAGAAGAGAAGAGAAGAGAAGAGAAGAGAAGAGAAGAGAAGAGAAGAGAAGAGAATACACAAACCCACAGTGAGATTAATATGATTACCAGAAAAGTTACTAGTCTTAAACAAAAACATTTTGTTAAGATCTCTGTAACTCTCACAACAGTAGAAAATACATATTTATTTGTGGGGTTTGCATGAAGATTCTTCCAGATACGAGAGGTAGAAACAGTAATAGTTTAAAAACAAATTTAACATGCAAATCTGTTTCTAAGCAATATTGGAGATGACCTGCAAAGGCAGTAATTTATTGGAGGATTTCTGCATGAATTAATTTTCTGCCTTTTATTTCCTCTCCTAAAAGATTTTATGAGAGTATTTTAATAGCATGTCCATATCCCAAGCAACTGAGAAGGTAAATACTTTTAGTAAATTACACTGTTCATGTTTAAATCTCCTTATCTCCTTTAAAATGTCTAGTAAATGACCATGGCCAAAAAGTTTATCACCAAAAAAGGCCAAAGGTTCTTGGTTCTTTCATGAAACTGTTAGCAACAATGCAGGTAGAAAACTACCACAAGTTTCTAGGTTCTTTCATTCACTTGTTGTGAAAGGAAAAAATACAGGAAGTAGAGGTACTTATTTTAGGAATTTTCTGCCAGGTTTAGTTTGTAGTCTTACTCCTTTAAGATATCTTATTTTGCATACTGCATATTGCAGAACAATTTTCACTATATAACACTGCACTAAAAAAGTTTTCCTTTAAATGCAATGTAAAATATCATCAGTATTACTCTAACTACAAGAAAAAATTAGGAGAGTATAAACATTGACCCTTTTTCTCTAGCCAAGAGAACTTTGTCTAAGCTTGTCATAAATGGAGTTTTAAGATGACCGCTCATTCAAAAAAAAGTTCTGTTGATGCTTCATGCCAGCCCTTGACTTGTAATCTGTTTCAGCAAAGTTACATTATTTTAGCATGATGGCTTCACCATGCCTGGATGCCAGCTGCCCACCAAAGCTGCTCTGTCTCTTCCTTTCTCATCTGGACAGGGGAGAAAAAGTGTAACAAAAAGGTTTCAGATTCAACATAAGGGCAGGGAGAGATCACTCACTTATTGCTGCTATGGGCCAAACAGATTCAAGTTGGGGAAAATTAATTTAATTTATTACCAATCCTGTCAGAGTAGGATAATGAGAAATAACCCCAAATTTTAGAAGCACTTTGGGCACAACCCATTCCTTCTTCCCAGAGTCAGCTTCACTCCTGATTTTCTCTATCTCCTCCACCCAAGCAGCACAGGAATGGGGTTGTGGCCAGTTCACTCTATGCTGTCTCTACTGCTGTGTCCTCAGGGGAAGACTCCTTGCACTTTTCCCTGCTCCTGCATTGGGTCTCTCTTAAGGAAAACACTCCTCCCTGTTCTCTAGTATAAACTCTTCCCACGGGTTGCTGTTCTTCACAAACTGCTCCAGTCTGGGTTCCTCCCACGGAGCACAGTCCTTCAGGAGTAGACTGCCCCAGGCTGTGTTGCCCCAGGATCACAAGTCCTGGCAGAAAACTTGCTCCAACATGGGTTTCCCATGGGGTCACAGGCCTTCTTTGGGCATTCACCTGCTCCAGTGTGAGTGAGATCCACACAGGCTTCAAGTGGATCTCATGTTCCACCATGGGCTGCAGGGACACAGCCCCTGCAGATCTTCACTATGGGTGGCAGGGGAACATCTGCTCTGGTGCCTGTGGCACTTCCTCCACCCCCTTTTTCACACTCCCCAATGTCTGCAGAGCTGTTTCTCACAGAATCACAGAATACGCTGAGTTGGACAGGGCCCACAAGGACCACGGAGTCCAGCTCCTGGCTCTGCACAGGACCATACCCAAGAGTCACACCATGTGCCTGAGAGCATTGTCCAAACCCCCCTTGAGCTCTGTCAGTTTCATGGATATGACCACTGCCCTGGGGAACCTCTTCCAGTGACCAACCAACCCTGGGTGAAGAACCCATTTCTAATACCCAACCTAAACCTACCCTGACACAACTCCAGGCCATTCCCTCACGTTCTGCCACTCTTCACCACAGAGAAGAAAGCAGTGCCTGCCCCTCCTCTTGCCTTCACGAGATAGTTGATAACTGCAATGAGGTCTCACTTCAGTCTCTTCTTCTCCAGGATGAACAGACCAAGTGATGTCAGGTGTTACTTATAATGCTTCCCCTAAAGGCCCTTCAGCATCTTAGTTGCCCTCCTTTGGATGCTGTCTAATAGCTTTAGTCTTCTTCTCTCCCATGTTTTCACTCCTGTCTTGGGCTGGAGGTGTGCAGGGTGTTTTCTCCCTTCTCAAATAAATGACCCCAGAGGTGCTACTGTAATCACTGATGTGCACGACATTGGCCAGTGGCAAGTCCAACTTGGAGTCATCTGGCTCTGTCAGACACAGGGGAAGTTCCTGGCAGCTTCTCAGAGAGCTCACTCCTGCAGCCTCCCCATGACCAAAACCTGGCAACACCAACCCAATATATCACATATAATCATTATAAATACACCGAATAGATGCTCCTCTGGTCCCTGGTGTTACAAGCTGTCCTTGGCAAATAACACTGTGAAGCCCTTGAAATGACTGCTGCCACTGGGCAGTGACCCCAGTTTGCACCCAGCCTCCTTAGTTCCATGAATGTCATCACAAATGTGCACCTACTGCTTCCCACTCTCAGAACAAAGCATCATAGCCATAAAACAAGGGTGTATTTTACAGCCAGAGTCAAGACCAAGTCCTCTCACAAACTCCTTCATTTGATTTTGGCGTGCTTCAGCTTCCTGGCATACAGACCTTCTTGGGGGTGGATACTCAGGTGCTGTGGCCGGCAGTGGTCAGTGGTGGGGAACAGGGATTAATGTTTCTGTTTGGAAAACAGGCTTCTGCCAGTAAATGAGTTCAATCAGCTCCCTAACTTGTAACAGGAGGAGTGGTGACGCCTCGGGCTGGTCCATGGTGAGTTGTTGGAAATGGGAAAGCAATCCTTACTGCCCAGGTCCGTGAGGTAACCTTTTTTGCAAAGGGGATATTTCACCCTAGCTTTGTGGTGAGCTACCCAGCACTAGGAGACGATGCGCGGCCTTGTTCCTTCCTCCTTGCGAGTACCACAGACATCTGAGGCAGCTCCGGGCTCCCTCTGTATGCCGGGGCCACAGGAGAGGTGCCAGCAGCCCAGCGGTGGAGAGCGATGGTGTGGGTGGCACGCCTGCCCGTGGGGCTGGCCTCGCACAGGTACCGGGCTGCGGCCGCGGCGCGGTGCCACAGCCGGGGGCGGTGCGGGGTCCCGCCGCCGTCATGGCGGGGCGAGCGGCGGCGGCTCGAGGCGTATCAGCGGGAGTGCGTCAGCGGCGAGGGGCGGGGAGGCCGCCGGGAGAGATGATATCAGGCGCCGGGCAGCAGGACCGGGCGAAGCCGGAGGTGAGTGGGGGTGTGCCGTGAACGCTGTTAGGGAGCCCGGCAGCCTCCGCCTCCTTCTTCTCCGTTTATCGCCGCGCCGCCGGGGCAGGCTGCCCGGCCGGCTGAGGTGAGGCGCGGCGGGGTGTCGCGGGTAACCTGCCCAGGCGTCCCGCATCTCCGCAGCGTAGCCGGGCCCGGCCGGGCAGGACGGGGGGAGCGCTCGGCGGCCGCCCGGGGCGCGCAGCCC